GCGTCGCCAAGGGCGTCAGGGCGGACACTCCGAGCCCGCTAAACCAGTACCTACCAGCGCCTCAGCTTACCCACTACGAGGGCCTGTTCGCCAAGTACCTACAGTCCCTTCCGGCCCTTGAGCGGTAAGACACGTCGGTCCAAAGCCCGCAAAAAGAAGGAAAAACTAGAAGAACAAAAAGGACCCCGCGTGCTGCTGGTGTCTATCACCATCCACCATCATCCTGAAAAGTTGTCGCCCGTGATTCGGGGCATCGAGCGATGATGTGTGTATTCCATTCGCCAAAGCTTCCAGCATTCGCCCGGGTTCCAACATTCGCCCGCAGTTGTACAGCAGTACAAACTTCCCCGTACTTTATGCACCAACGCACCTACGTCCACTGCCGTACAACCTTTTTGATTTTTGGAACTGGTATGCAGATAGGCTGTAGTCTAGAAGCAGACTGCACGCTTGAGGCCCGCTGTGAGTGGAGGTTGACTTGACGGCCACGCTGTCTCGGGATCGCTCGCGGCCCTCGTTGAGAGACTAAACAGGGTGGCCCAAGTAACCTGATCACCACCGACCAATGCAAGGCGTTGGTGGTCGTACTGCTGTACTCTACATACCGTAGTCGCCACAATCAACAACACCGCAAAACATGAACATCAGAACCATGGAGCCGCGAAAAACACGCGAAAAGAAGAGAAAAACCGATGCGATGGTATCTACATTATCCCGAAAACAAGGAGGTCACTCCGAACACTTAAATCGTACTCGTTTTTTTCTTTAGTTTTGTTGTCAACAAACCAGGTCGTTTTCTTCCTGTTTTTTTCTTTCTCCTTCTGTGGTCCCTTACTGTTTTTTTGTTTTTACTGAACCAGGTCGTTTTTCTTCATTTTTTTCTCGCTCATGTTGTGGTTACCGTTTTTTTTTCCTTCTTTTTTTACAATTGAGGTCCTTTTGTTCTTGTTTTTGTTCTCTCTCCTCGTTGTGGTGCTTACGTAAACTTGTACGCGCCCGCCAGAGTCTCGACGACGGAGGACGTGTGCTTCCTCTGCAAAGAGGGCGGCAACCTCGTTGAGTGCGACGAGGGCACGAGCTGGTCCCGCCGCGTGAAGCTCAAGCTCGAGTCTCTGGGAAAACCGCCCCCCGCCCCCGGCACCGCTTTCTCGTGCTGCGGGGTCTCCATGGAAGAGCCGAGCAACAGCAGCGACGCCAAGGGTAAGGTGGCGGAGGAGGGGGCGACGGGAGGAGCCTCCAAGGCCGCGGCCAAGCCCCCCCGCTGCAAGAAGGTCTACCACGCCTACTGCATGGGCTTCAACGTTGGGGACGAAGAGCTGAGCAGCTGCCCGAGGCACGCGTGCGTGGAGTGCGGGGAGGCTGCGGGATACTTCTGCAGGTGTGTGGTGGTGGTGGTGGTGTTGTGCGTACTGCTGCATGCGTAGCCGTGTGGCGTGGCGTGTGTGCGGTGTGTGCGGTGTGTGCGGTGTGTCGTTGTTGTTGTTGTCGTCGATTTTTTTTCTTTTTCTATGTTACCACGTTTGTTGTGCTTTCCCTTGCTTTCTCGACGGTTTCACGTCCATCAGTGGTCCGCATTCGGGTAGTATGTATTGGACGCCTGTCTGTACCCTCATATTTTAGACGATGGCATCCTACTACTGTATGCGATTGCCGCAAACGATCCTTTAACCCCCTCCCCCCCCGTTTTTCGCTCATGAAGGTTCTGCCCCGTATCCCTCTGCGACAAGCACTTCCGCACCGACCCTTCCGGCATGATCGCCGAGACCTACGAGTCTCTCAAGCACCGGGTCCGCCGGCCATTCCCCCGCACAAGGGGCGGCGGCTTCGGCCCCAGATCACGCACCCAAGCCGGCGGCACCGGCACCCTCGCCGGCGCCAGCAGCAGCGGCGGCGGGGCGGGCAGCAGGGGCGGGAGAGGCAAGCGCGGCCGCACCGGCAGAGGACGTAGAGGGCGCGGCGGCGGGAGGTGGTCCGTAGGGGAGGTCGGCGGGGAGGCGACTATCGCTCAGCGCCGGCCGAAGCGCGGCCAAACGGCGACTGTAGCGGCGCCGGCGCCGGCGCCGGCGCCGACGGTGGTCAGCGTTAGCGGTGGCGGTGGGGGCGGGGACAGGAGGTCGTGCGGCGTGGGGTTGCCGGGCGGGGGGGCCGGGTTCGGGGAGCACGACTTCGTGTGCACCGGGTGCAAGATGGCGGCGAAGCGGGCGGTGCGGCAGTACGGGCTGCTGGGGTCGCTGGAGACTGGCGGCGTGGTCCTGCCGTACGGGGAGAGCGAGGTGTGGTTGAACGAGGGCGTCTGATAGTCGTACCCTGGTGTTGGTATCGCTGCCGCTCTCGGGGGACAAGAGGGCGTTTGATATCGCACAGCAGTTGATGTTGTTGGTCTTGTCGCGGTCACGGGCGGTGCTGGGAGGTAGCAGGTGATGGTGGTTGGGTGCAGAGGGATGCCATGTGCATTGATATTGTTATTGTTGCCGGTCTTGATTGTGTCGGGTCGTGTGAAAATTTCGGGGGCTTGGAGAGAGTGGTTTCGTGGGTGGGGGTGGATCGACAAAAGGTATTGGTTCACCCATGTGTGCAGGCTGGTGTGCCCAACGGAGCATAAACAACCTCTCGTGGCATGCCTAATACGCACTGATGTTTTTTCATACCGCGAGCAACGTTCCGAGCTATTTCGACCCAAGGATGTGCGATATAACGCCCCCGCCCCCCGACCGATCTCTCCCGCCATGCTTTTGTGTCGCCGCTATCGCCGCCGCTTGACACCGACGTCGCCACCCACTCATCCATCCCGCCGACGTTCTTCCCCCTCGCCGAACGCTCGCGCGTACACAGGGGAGCGGCGACGAGAGCGAGTCAGACATTCTACCGGTCACCGCTCTGCCCCCGCGAGATACCGCCGCCGCAGCGAACGGCACCGGCGACGGCAGCGGCGATGCTGGAGGCGGACAGGAGGATCTGGTGTCAGCCCCGGGCGGTGCAGGTCTTGCCGGAGAGCCGGAAGGCGGCCACAACATCGGCGGTGGTGCCGTTGGTGGCGGTGCCGTTGTCGCCGGTGCCGCCGCCGCCGTCAGCAACGCGGCCGTCGCTGCGGCGGTGGCCGCCAACAACGCGGCGGCGGCGGTCGCGGCGGAGAAGTACTTCTCCATGTTCTCGAGACGAGACCCCCCGGCGACGCCAGAAGTAACAGCAAACGGTGGCGATGCTGGTGGTGGTTCCGCGGGCGGCGGCGGGGGCGATGGCGACGTGGAAATGGGCTGACGAGCACCCACGAGAGATGCCACAACCAGCAGCAGCAGCAGCAGCAGCAGCAGCAGCAGAGGCAGTACCAGCGGCAGGAACAGAATTCTAGCAGCAGTGGGAGGGAACATTCACGGTACGATTGGAGAGTGCTTGACGAAGGGTGCAGGCAGAGACGGAAAATGACGAAGGAAGCATGGGACACAGGGGAAAGCATGATGGGTGTGGGGAGCAGGGAAAGTGGGGGGGCAGGATTCTAGTTGGGGGGGGAGGGGGGCAAGTAAACGGAGTCCTCGGCTAATTTCTTTTTTGTAGAAATTGTACTAAATAAACCAATCACTGAAAGACTACTACCCGTTCGAGGGTATGCCACAGTCGAAGGGGTGTGCCGCAAGTCAAAAGGCGAGAATGGTTCGGCAGGAATCTCGCCGCTTCGTCCTTGTCTTTTCAATTTCGATACTTATCTAGTTGGTGTTCATGTGCTGGGTATCAGTGGACGTGTTGGTTTGTTCTTTCTGACGATGGAAAATGCGTCTGTTTCTTTCTCTTTTTTACGGCAGTCGCGACGACAACTAGCTAGCCGAGGAACGCACTTCTTCGCGAGAACGCCAAATTGTTCTTTGCATTTTGGCAGATGTTGCCATTTATATTGTAGCCGTGTGTGATTGGTGCCTCCCGTTTCCAGTGCTTGCGGACCCGAGGAGGGGGGCCTGAAAGAAAAACCTAGCAGCGCGCACGGTGTGCCCCCCCCCCCCCCCCAGGAAAACTTCTGTCGGGGTTGTTGTTGTTGTTGTTGTTGTTGTTGTTGTGTTGTTTCATAACGGGGGCCGTTCCGATCTCTCTACCCAGTACCTTCATATGTCCGTACCGATCTACATACTGCTGAAGCACTTTGATGCGGTCTATTCCCGTGGTCACACGGTGTGGCGTGGAGGAGGCACGAACTGCAATCAAAGTGATGCGTTTGAACTTATTCATCTGATTGCTACTGGAATAGCTAGAGAGAGAGAGAAAAGGTGCCCGCAGTTTTCTGATTGGCCAATTTTTTGAAAGGATATTTTTCATTTTTTCCAGATGGGCCAAAAATCCCTTGTCGCCATGACGTGTCATCTACGGCGGGTCCCCTTTTTTCTACAAGAATCAACTTTGTTGGAGATGAGGAATGACCTTGCTTGCTACCCGGGTACATACATAAAGCGTGTGAGGGACGTGCGGCGCGGACATCTCGGGGGTGTTGAGTTGTGTTACTGAGTTTAGCGCGCAAGTTGGTGCTGTCTGTTTCCTTGTTTCGCGTGAGATTCTGGATCCATCTGTCTTCAAAACAGGTTACCGGACCGGCTGCCGGTTCGACAGGGAGTTAGTTGCGGTTTCTACCTGCTTGGATACGGAAGCCTACTTGGGGAGGCCATACGTTGTAGTAGCTCTCCGCAGATGACGCGCGATAGAATCGGAGGTGCTCGCCGACGGTGTGCGCGTGTAGCCTAAGACTTCGAGTGCGTTGTTCTTTTTTTTCAGCGAGGACTACCACCCCGCCCGGTCCCCTCTCGAAAAGCTACTATTGAGTACGCTGCCTGTCGAAGTGGTGTGTGTGTTGTGGCTTGGTGTTGTATGCGTACGACGAGTTTTTTTCATTTCGGCCGTAGCGAAAGGCGGCAGGTGTTTTCCGGATGGAGCGTATATTGCGCTGTCTCCTCAGGCAAGAAGATAAGAAATATCGATTCGCTCGAGTAAAATGGTCGCAACTTTAACTTTCTGGCAAGAAAAACGGTTTGAAATTACGTAGATTCGTGTCGTCCAGCAATCGCGCTATCCAGCAATCGCTCACTCACGCATATACACCCCGCCACAGGCAGAGAAGCGCTGCATTCGCGCGTTACCGGCGTGCAACCAATGAATAGGGCAGTGACGCTGTAGCACCACAACAGTGCTGAAATTTCGGTCAAAAGAGGCACGTTTTTGTCGAGTTTGCAAGCGTATACAATCAGGTAGCTTCCACTGGAAAACAGTTAGATTCCTGGCCAGTTACGTACCGGGATTGGGGCTGTCGGGTGGTTGTCCTTGACAGCAGTCCCATGATGATCAAATTTGCTGGATTTTTCAACCGATATTTGCTGGTCCGTGGATTTTTCTCGAGCACCAGAGGAATATTTTGTAGAAAATTCAGCAACAAACATTCTTCTTGTGGCCAGCACCGCCACCCATGCGCATACTGCTCTTCTACCACCTAACCCACACAACCCAACAAGCGCCACCACCCCCGATCTATCTATACTCACGGAACCCGCACAAGGCTGGACGAAATACGGGCACAACTCAACGAACTACTACTACAGTACAGTAACGGCCCGTGCGTCTCTCCGCGTTTGTTTGCACAAGAACCCAGGTAAGTGAATGTTGTTGGTGGGCATGATTCCTGTATTTATTTACGCAAGACAATGTTCCTGCACTGACAACGAAGCAGCATCAGATCCAGGATGTATATACCCAGTCCAAGCTTTTCACAAGAATTTCGGACAAAACAATACAGCAGCAGCAGTAGTAACTTCAGTGGGGCTTCTTTGATCCGGAGTGTGACATTTTCGGTGGGCTGTGGACCGCCTGGAATCGGAGCAGCACACGATCTATCTATCATTTTTCTGCAAAAGTTTTGGCTGTTGATGCTGCTTCGTCGTCATCAGCGCAGGAACATTCATTGTCTTGCGTAAATACGATGATATTTTCAGAGCACATCTCGACAATGCTGCAGGGTGTGGGCGTAACGACGCAACGACACAACATTCGGCGAGAGGTTATGTATGGATGTGGATATACGGTTTTGTCTGTTTTCAGGATGCTTTTATTGCCGATCTGTGGATGTCCTCAAACCAGCCTCGTTCCCACAGCCACAAAGATAATAATCCGACCACACGCATGTGACGTGTGTGTGTACAGTTTCGCTCGCCTCGTGAGGTTACTACACTGCTGCTGTAATGGAATTTTTTCCGGCCAAATAGTTTAATTCCTTCCCGCAAGGTCAGGTACAGATTATCTTTTTTCTGGCAAAGAAAACAACGCACCAACCCTTTTCATGCATGTACAGCATAAACCCAACACGTCGGTGTGTGGCGAACATCGGGGGTTGTGGCAGTACGGCAGTACAGCAAGCAGCGGTGGGTAGCGCAGCCCGCGGCGGCGCGGGTCTCCCACACTTTCTACAGTTGTGCTAAACGGCCCATGGGACACACCCGTGGGCAGCATGGGTGCCCCATGGTCTGCCCATAGGCTGCCCACGGACACCACGTCGGGCTCATCATGGGCTGCCTATGGGGTACCCGTGGGCAGCTCATGGGCACTTTTGTGCCCATGATGGAACACCCGTGGGCTGCCCATAGGTGTCCCATCGGTGATGCAGACGGATCGCAGGTTGATTCACTTGCGTCGTCACTCGCTTGTGCTGCCGACAGCAGGCAACGGGCCGTAGGAGTCACACCCAACGCCTCCTATGATGTGTGTGTGCCTTTGGCTGCCCTTGGCCTCAACAGCAGTCCGTATGTATGCTGCTGTGCTGGTTGTCTCGTATGTTCTCTGCGTGGTGTGTGTGGTGCTGCTGTGCAAGAGGATTTCGGGGATTCTCCCGAGAGCGTCGTGCCCATCGCTCAATCAGCTGTGTCTGTCCAACATGGTCGACATGCGATTCTGATTCATTCGTGGGAGGACGGCATCTACCCGGCTCCACACCTCTGAAACTTCGATGGTATTTTTTTGTTCTTCCGGTCCAACATAATTTTTGCTCCACTTATGGGTGCTCTGCCAAGAAGACTGTTCGGGAAGAAAGATATAATACACCAAGCACGCCTGCACAAATCGCTCCTTCCATCCCTCCCTATATATATGCGCGCGCGTATGTATGTACAAGACAAAATAATATTCCCTCGAACGCGGCGAATAGTCTATCGCGGAGCACGCGTGTCGTGCCGACAAGAACGAAATCCTGAGTGAGGATGCAACAAGATTTATCACACTACTTTTTGTTGTGCGAATCTTCATCTCTTCACGGCTCTCTACATACTGCACACCGTAAAAAAAAGCTAAAATCTCCTAGAGGACCAGCACGGTTGCCCGAGGCAAGCTGCGATACCAATGAAAAATACACACACACACACACACACACATGGAACTACACTCACTCTCCCAACAACCAACCTTTAACTTTCACTTTCGCTCCCTTTTTCCACTCTCTGCCACAAACAAACATGGATGGATGCACTCACTCCAAGTTGTTGGTATTTATTGTTGTCGCCGCCCCCCCATTCTGCTCTTCTTCTGTTTTTCCCCTAATAATGCCGAACAGACACACAGAGAGAGAGGCGGCCCGGACACGAAGTTGCACCCCTTCCTGTGCGCCTCTCTTCGAACCATGGGAATCCTCAAAAGGTGAGGGATTTGTTGACAGAGTATCGAAAATCACTGGCGGCTGGCATGGAAAAATCTCAAGGTATCGTTCAATATTTCATATACTACGCAGCTCATGGGCGTAGGGATGACTCTGTGAACTGGCCTTTGGAAGAAAGTCACATTGACATACATGTGTTTGGAATCATCGAGGTTTTGTATCATCATGGTGGGCGGCCTTCTCAGTCTGTTGATCACAAGAGCCGCAAATATATATACTCCGCTGTGCAACTGCGTGTGCAAAGTAAGGCAATCCGTGATACATACATACATACATACATGTAGTAGTCAAGAGACTGTAACTAACTGTTGCATCGTAGTCATGTCATCGTAGATCTTTCCATCATAGTACGGTAGTACGTAAAATCTTTGAGACTGATTGATGTCTTCGCTTCTCGCGCCCCTGCCCTCCACTGGACAAACCCACGAGTAAAATTGGGCTAAAGACGAATCCAAATTCCACACACACAATGAATGGATGTTATGGGGGTCTGCCCTGACAACATGTTGACATATTAAGCATACAGTAACAGCCGATCTTTTCTTTCTCCCTACAGTGCCCGCTACGTACGCTATTTGTGAGAAACTAC